CATCCATCCATCCATCCATCCATCCATCCATCCATCCATCCATCCATCCATCCATCCATCCATCCATCCATCCATCCATCCATCCATCCATCCATCTGTCATTCATCCATCCATTGTTCATCAGTTTATCCTTCCATCATTCATTCACCTATCATATATCATTCATCCATTTGCCACTCATTCATCCATCATACATCCATCATTCATCCATCCATCATACATCATCCCTTCATTATCCATTCATTCATCCATTCCCCACACATCATCCATTATTCATCCTTCTTCTGTGGTGCTGACTGTTTGTCTGCAGGTACGTCCAGCAGTGGAGTGAAGTACAGAGGAACTGTTGATGTGTCAAACTTATCTGACGAGAATGACGAGGACGACCTGGATGTGAGTCAGACTTCCTGATCGCACACTGATCAACGTACTGATGACTGTTCTGGTGATAATACTGATGACCATGTTCCCCTCCAGATCTCAGCCTCTCTGTGCAAGGACCAGCCCAGCACACCGCTCCTGGACCTCATGAAGAGGACTGGCATTAAGGAGGTCCGCAGAGTTCTGGGCGAGTACGTCCGCCAGCTCAAATCAGGTCTGTTACCCAGAGTGCATTAGGACCAGCCAATCAGAGAGGAATATGATGATCTCTGTAGTAACCATGACCTCTGACCTCACAGAGTTCAGTCAAGGGATGATCCTTCCTACTACTGATGGACCGAAGCAGCCGCCACCTGAGACCGCCAAGAAGAACCAGGTCAAGACCAACAAAACCCAGGTATAACCTCCTTTTGGTTCTTACCCAGCTCCTGTCAAAACTAAGCAGACATAACCTTTGACCTCTCTGTGCTCTCCTGCAGATCAGTGCCACCACCAAGTGCACCTCCAGTCCCTCCCCGAGGAGCTCCTCCACCCCCGCCCCCTGCCCCACAGGTATTCGTATCCCAACCTGCAGCTTTAACCTGAGGGAAACTTTCCAGACATCTGCTGATGAACTCTACAGGACCTTCATCAACCAGGAGGTATGAGACAGACCACCCTGAAACTAGGACAGGCTAAAACAGAGTAGAACAGACCAGGCTGATACCAAGACAGACCCCATAAGATAGAACAGGCTGCAATCAGCATAGAATAAGTTGACATCAGACTGGAACAAGGACAGATTGTTGTAGGTCTGACAAGAAACCTACAACCAACCAAAAACCAGACCACATTCAGCACAACTCACAACCAACGATGTAAAACCAGACTTAATCTAGATGAAACAAAATCATATTTATACCGCAGTATAAACCCACAGACAACCCCAGATCCCGCAAACCAAAACCTGACCACATCAAGAAGTACTCATAGTGTTAGGACAGTATAACTCCAGCAGCATCACTGCACAAGACCTGTACTGTTGTAATACCATGCTTGGTGGCATAGTGCTGAAATACTGCACAAGTACTGTTGATACTCTGTCTCAGTAGCGCTGTAGTGGTATTGCAGTTGTATAATTAGCTCTCTATCTGCAGTTTGTGCAGGTATTTACGCGCTCGGTGGCGGTGGTCGATGGTCGGCGAGGAGGGAGGTTCCAACTGCTGGATGGAAGCGTCAGCGGAGAGTTCACACAGCTGGTGAGGTCATGGCTGCTCAGCCAATAGCCAGTCAAACATCAGTAAATTTGTGTCTTTTCTTCATGGTACTAGATTGTTGCTCCTCCCTGTAGGTACCAGACCAGAGGATTGAAATGAGGTGGCGGTTCAGGACGTGGCCCGGCGGTGAGTCTTCCTGTTATAATGCTGTGATGTGTTTGAGTGTTTGAAATGTTTCCCGGCCTGCTGCTGTGTTCAGGGACACTGCAATGTGAGAATTTTGCGGTCTCTTCTTTAGAGCACTACGCCACTGTCAGTCTGGAGCTGGAGGACCGAGGAGACGAGACAGAGCTGAGGATGGAGTGTCATGGAGTCCCTGCAGGGGAGGAGGATTCCACCAGGGAGGGCTGGACCCGGTTCTACTTCCAGGCCATCAAACAGACATTTGGATACTGAGATCCAACACTGAGAGACTCTGAGATACTGAAACCTGGAGCTTGTCTGACAGGCTGAAAGGAGGACGGTGGCCAGGATAAGACTAAACAAGGCAACAGAATGAACTCTCTTAAAGGAACAGTCCAACATTTTATACATCCTGTTGCTCTCCTAAGGTAGGAGTCATGTTTCTGTTAGACCTCACAGACCTGCTGTTCTTTGTCTTTTCCAGGATCATATGTTTCAGGTACATCAGTTACCAGTACAGAATTGGGTCCGGGATATGGTGAACCTAGCTTAGCAAAAAGACTGGAAACAGGGAGAAGTGGTAACCTGGCCCCACCTAAACAGAACTAACCAAACACAAGAATTTTCCAAAATGTTGGAAATGTTTCTTCACAGTTTGACAGGTTCTCCGCGGCCAAATCACTGTGTGAATAAATGACTGCTTTTTGTTCTTTGTTTGTCCACCTGTTTCTCTTTGGCCACAGATGACTCTGGGCCTACATGGTGCTTGTTAAAGGAACAGCCCAACATTTTTGTTCATGTTTTTTCTGAGATGACTAGATGAGTGTCAGCCTGTTGGGGGAAACCCCAGTTTGTGGTGTTGCTTGCGGGAACTGATTACTGTCACTGTTTTGACCTGACGATTATTTCTGTGCAGCTTCTGCAGCTACAGAGTGACTCAGTCAGACCACAGGTTTAGCAGTTCAACAAGAAATAGCTCATTCATTCATTGACTGCTCTGTAAGCAAGGAGTCATGAACATCTTTCATGACCTCTGTGGATCCTGAGGTGCCCCCAGGTTTCCTGGCAGCCTGTCTTGGTTCTTCCTGTGGTCTCCCACCACCTGTCCACCAATATTATCTGCACAGATCAGAGATCCAGTACTGAGACTACAACATCGACTCTCTCCACACCTCAACTGCACCGTCAGAAAGTTCATGAAACAGGATCAAGCACCCACTGAGGACATGTTGGACTTACTGCTGAAGACACAGACGCAGATCTCACCGTGATTGTACAAGGACTGAAGCAGTTATCACCTTCGTACCCCAAACTGCCACAGTACACACAAGCTAACCTTGGCAATGCTTAGAAATGTTTCCAAGCCCACAAAACTCACGTGGACTGGATGGACCAGGACAGAACCCACATCAGTCCTCCTCAGTTCTACAGTCTACCAGAGTTTAGCAGCCTGACAGAAGCTTGGATGATGAACTGGAAGGATGAACTGGCTGTCAGGCTGGACTCTGACAATCTTCTAAACTCTAAGAAAGTGAAACTGAACTATTCACTTGAGATCCAGCACTTCCCAATTTTTGCAGCTCTGCCTTCTCTGTGCTTCCTGTTTCAGTTCAGTTTCATTGACATAGAACCAGAACCATTGTTTGTTTGTGGTTTCAGACTGATCTGGGGTTCGGCTCCTATAGAAAACCTACTTGACTTGACCTGGTAACAGACGCAATCTGAACAAAACAAGAATGGAGACAGAATGAGGTCAACCTGAGCAGAACTCAGAGAAAATACAATCACTGGCCTCAGCATCATCTATCAATCAATTCCATCATTTGACAAGCAGCTGCAGTAAACAAATTAATAATGACGGTGATGAGAGAACATTCTTGGTTTCCAAAGGTAAGAAGTTGTTTGTTTTGTTTTGTCAATAAAGGAAGATGAAACTGAGCTCAGGGCCACTTCAGCTGCAGACCTGCGGGTTTAAAAGGCTATCGTACTGACTCGATTAATCAGAGCATTTGGTCCGACTCTTGGATCAGGTCTAAGATACTGATCCTGCTCTACAGGTTCTAAACTGAACAGAAGAACAACTTCTTTTTTATATTTTCAGTTTATTTGTTGTGAAGGAATGTTTTTGTTTACACATCTGCAGCAAGTTCAGTTAAAATACACTAAAGTACATCAACAACACGGGAAACAAGCTCTCACACACACACACACACACACACACACACACACACACAACGTTTAAACATTAAAACAATGGTAATTGATAAAAGTTTCAGCTGGTTTCATGTCGATAGAAAAATACACAAACATCTAATAGCTACAATGTCTCTTTACAATATGAACACCAGGAGCTCAGATCAATAACATGATCAAAACACAAATAAAAACACAACATTTTCAGCAAAAATTAAAAAAGCATCAAAATCAAATGTGCAGAGATGCTTTTGATCAGTGACTATTTATTTCACTGATCGCTGATGTTTGTTATTGATTTGTGTGGCATTTATCGGCCTCAGCTGCCTCAGATCTTCAGCCTGGACGGACTTCATTCACTGGAGGTCAAATATCAGCAGCGGGGCTAAAACACTTCTTCCTCCTCTGCATCACAGCCATAATCTAAAAAAAAAAATTAAAAATCAGTGAATCAATCAGTCAATCACTTAATCAATCAATCGGCAGACTTTCTGTAATATTTTAACTTTTTCTTATTTATTTTGAATTTCAGAATAAAAGCCTAAACTGACCTCCTACGAGCTGCAGAGCGCTGACACACTCTTCCTCCACCTCCACCTCCTCTTCCTCGTCGTCATCCTCCTCCATAGGGACCGGAGCAGCAGGGGTGGTGGCGGCGGCGGCGCTGGTGTCTGGTTCTGGATCAGGAGTCGGTTCAGCTGCAGCCTCTGTTGTTGCCTCTATTTCTATGGTGACAGTGTCTTCAACCTGAAATGCAACACGTTTAACAGCAGGTGTGACAGGTGGAGTCAGGTGTGACAGATGTGACAGGTGGAGTCAGGTGTGACAGATGTGACAGGTGGAGTCAGGTGTGACAGATGTGACAGGTGGAGTCAGGTGTGACAGATGTGACAGGTGGAGTCAGGTGTGACAGATGTGACAGGTGTATGTGTGGCTGCTCACCTGAGGAACTACTTTCTTCTTCTTTGGTGTGGAGGAAATGAGACGGCGGAACCTGAAACAAAAGCAGAAGAAGAAACATCAGAAAAAAGTGAAAGACTCCAAATGACAGTCAGAGCTGCAGCTATAAATACAGATTTTGAAAATTACAATTTTTGATTACAGATATTTGATAATTGAAAGGGGGCACCTCTTCCGCATGATGCTGGCGTTAGCAGCGAGGTCTCGGTTGGTCTCACTGCTCTTCCTGCGGCGGCGGCGGTTGAGTCGTTTCCGTGCGGCGGTAGCATCAGGCGGGTCGGAGGTGGACCTGCTGGGACTTCCTGTCCCTCTGTTCAGATCTCTGAGGACGTCGTAGTTGATCTTACTGGAGATCTTCTTCTTCTCCAACATCTTCTCAATCGCCTCACCTGCCGTCGATGCCAGAATCTGTTCCCGTTTCTTATACTTCTTCTTCTTCTGCAAACGCAAACAACGCAAAGGGAGGTCAGGTGGGTGGAGGATCTGACGGTTGGTCCTATAACTGAGCCGCTTGACTTGAGGCTGGGAGACCCTGTGCTTCACTCACCTTCTCCTTGTAGGTCCCCTGTTCCTTCTCTTTGTTTATCCTCTCCTCTTTTTCTGTAAACACAAACATGATCCATCAACCACCTGAGTTCAAATCCATCCTCACAGTCAACATGGAGACTTATCAACCTAAACCTAAACCACATTATCAGGGGTGAACTAAAAGACTGATTAACTGATCGATTGATTAATGATGGTGATGATCATGATGATGAAGATCCTGACCTTTCTGCTCCTTCAGGTATTCTTCGTTCTGTTTCATCCACAGCACCGTCTTCACCTCGACCTCCTTATCATTCAGGATGTACTGCAGCACACAGAGTGAGTCAATGAGAGAAGAAGACACTACATCCTATGTTCACAACCTTTCAAAGCCTAACTTTATTTATAAAAGCTGCCTTGACACAAACAGCAGTTCATTTCTACAGATGCACTGTTGGTAGCTGGTGTAAAAAAAAAAAAAACCCTATATATTTAATTGAATCTTCATTTTTAATGTCACTTTTTCTCGTTTACTTTGACATGGTAACCAAATAAACAACAACTTCTGGCTCATGTATGAGCAGGTCAGCTCTCTGCATGACGCTGCTCATGTAAAATCTGTGTAGAACTCACCTTATCAATCTCCTGATCATCAATACCATCCAAGTCCAGCTCTCCACCCTCTGACTGCTCATCTGAAAAAACAACACAAACAGACAACTGCTTAGTGTCCTAAAACGACTCAACAGCAGAACGTTTTTTTGACTCTACGACGATGTAACATTGATAAAAGTGTTTTTTCTTACCGTCTGGTTTCTCGCCTGTCTCTGACTCGTCGACTGTCTGGAAGCTCTGCTGAAGGCCCAGGCTGGCGGCGCTTGGCAGCTTTCCCAGGATGGCGGCCAGAGGGGCGACCTGACGGTGTGACCCTGCGCCCTCGTTTTCTGGCCCTGCCTTCTGCTCACAGTCATCTGTCTTTTTGCCCAGCCCCTCCTCCTCCTGGATCACCTGACACAGGAAGTCCTGGGTCAGGTGCTGAGTGGCAGCTTCGAGCTCGGCGTCTTCGGCCTCCGTCTCCTCAGGCTCTGATACTGAGGACAAAACCTCCTGCTCCTCAGGGTCTGAAAAAAGAAAATTTAAGTGAATGTATGTTTCTGTGGATTTACCTAAAGACAGTCAGCTGATGCATGACATGTGGACTGACTGATTTCTTTGGTGTAGGCAGCGTAGATTCCTCTCAGTTTGGGTCGGCTCTTCTCCAGCTCGGTTTCAATCTCGTCTTTGTAGCAGCTGATCTCTCCTGGCAGAAGCAGAATGAAAATGTTCAGTACTTAAAAATGTTCCAAAAATGATTTAGTTTTGTTTGTAGTGTCCTAAAAGATTTCTTTAGTTCTCAGGAATCCCTTGTAGCTGACCTTCCACCTCATCCAGCTTCTTGGCCAGCTCCTGCTCCAGCTGCAGGGGAAAATGAGAAAAGGTCACTTAACTGGTTTACTCACTGATTACTGGTTACCTGTTGCAGCCAATCAGTAACAGATAAATCTACCTGCTGCAGCCAATCAGAGACTGATGGATCTACATGCTGCAGCCAATCAGACAGATCGATGGATAGATAATGTTTTCATCTCCTTGGGACCTGCCTGCTGCAGCCATGTAGGGATTGGATAGATAAATGTACCTGTTGCATCTTGGCTTTGTGCTGTGACGCGGTGAAGGAGGGAGGATCACACTCCTGCTCCAGATCTACTCTCATGAACTCATCGATGGTCAGCTGACTGGTGGGTGTGTCCTCAAACTCTGTTAACCTGCAGGGAGAGAGAGAGAAGATGCTGACATAAACTGTGATCTACAGTGATCTACTAGGATCTACTGGGATCTACTGCACGTCTCACCTCTTCCTCAGAGTGGTCTGGCAGACCTTCACCACACTGATCACATCCTTGACTGAACGACGGAACTTGTGCATCCGAGCTGCTACCAGGAGAGCTGAGGAGGGGACGGAGGAGGAGATTTATTGCTTTCCTCATGTAAACAATCCCTCATGTGCACTGTTGTAGACATTAGTTGCTGCCACAGTGGCCGCCTCCGTGTTGTACCTGCTCCACAGAGTCCGGAGGGCCGGCGTCCTGTGTGCATCCAATCCCTCTTCATCCTCTGAACAAGACGAAGAGCCGTCATGGAAACCTCATGAGTCTTCAATCCAAACTCCAACATGTGAGCAAACCGGGGGATGTACAGGCAGGGATCTGAAGAGGAGGAGGAGAAGAGGGGAAAACATATTTTTATGGTTTTGATACATACTGAACAAAGATATGAGTGCATAATATAATATTTTATTAAATTCTGCCCATCTTTTAAACATGGGGGATATGTATTGCTGCATCACATGGCATTTTGACAACAGGATGGCCACCATAAATCAACAAAGTACGCACTATATTGGAAACACTAACAGGCAAATCGAGACTGGGGTCATAGACATAGAAATCACAAACCAGTCATGAGTATATCTACCATTTGCTCCATGTAGTGCTATAAATCGGCAACACATAGAGTTAATGGACAGTTAACTCTATGTGTGAAAGTCTAGACAGTTTATCCGTCTTGACTTTCTTAAACAATTTGTTTGATGACAAATGGTGGGACGTTTAGGTGCCTGGCTCCCATCTAACATAGCATGCCAGCATTCAACATGCCAACAGCCCATTCTGGCCTTTCTCATGTCATCTGAGGTTTCATATGATTTGAATAAAGTTGCATGTTAGGGTGATCCTGTATAGTCACTGGTCAAAGGAGTGTCTGTGTCCTGGACATCTGGACGTTGTCCTTTAAAGCCACATCAGATTCTGCATAAATGTTTAGAACGAAATCGTCTTGGTAACATAACTGGTCTTTTTAGAGTATTGTTGTTCTTGATAATATATTCTTTATAGATTATTACTCTACAAAGACCGATTTTTTTTCCCCACTTAATTATTTTTAGCCAGCATAGAGCCCCACAGCCACATTTGGTGGAGCCAGACCCCACTGGCCCCAAATGCAGAGACATCACCGCCTGTAAGTCGGAAAAGAAGAGAATTTGCATGCTGCGTTTATCTTAGACAATGAATTTCTGTTAACTCCTTGTGTTTTGCACTTAAACGCCACATGAAACACTGAGGACATGTGGACACGTTTACAGGTGCGCTGCTGTGCTCCTGCACTCTGTCGCCATCTTGCGGCGCGGCTCGGCGGTGCAGGCGGAAGCAGCAGCGGGATGTAAAATGGCGTCAGGAGACAAACAGCAGCTCGGTCGGACTGATTTTAACACTAACGGCGGAACGGACGCTCGGCGGGAGTCGGACAGGTAAAACACACAACCGACACGCTGTGACACACACCCAGGACCCTGTAACCGACCCGGTCCGTGCGTGTTTAACAACCGGATAGTGATGATGAGGATTATCGGTCAGAGGCAAACAACAACAACAACAGCATCAACATGGCTGTAACGGTAACGCACCGGCTGGTCACCGCATCCTGAGGTGTTTTCGACAAATGATTGATTATTGATTGATAAGTGAGTGATGGAGCTGCAGCAGCGAGCAGCTCTCACACAGTGATGGTGTCAGAACCGGAGCTGCACTGGGACCAGTCACAGGCTTTCCAGTCAGCACTGGGCTGATACCAGGGGACTGGCTGTGTTTAATGTGGAGATAAACACCAGCAGCAGCAGGATTCAGTCTGATTATGATCACAGACTGTGTGAATATGACATGAGAACACCTGCAGGGAAGGTTTGACCTCCTGAAGGGCCCTGAGGCAGCCCAGTGCAGCTGGGCCCTGCTGCTCTACCAGACATGTCAGCCTCATTCGGTCTCCAGACAGCCACACGATAATTAGCCCCTTAGTTCACAGCTAAAAAAACTGTTTTATACCCAGGTCACATAAACTGAACAAACCTGCAGATAAAGGGTTGAACGATTCATCAATTTAAATCAAACTTGCAATTAGAAACAATGCAGGTAGCAAATCGCAAAGGCTGGAATTAGGAAACATGACATGCAGCATCTCTGACACGGTTTAAAATGTCATGTCAGTGGGTTTATAAATTCATGCCATTGTCCTTGTGTTACAGTCATGCTGAAGGTCTCATGCCTTAATGCACCATCACACATTTTAAATCGGTTACACAGCAAATACTGAGCTGCAGCACAACTTTAAAACCAAGTACACACTATATTGGAAATGACAACAGATGATGTAATGTAAGATTGGAAATGGGCGGCTGTGGGTTGTCCACTGATCAAGGTTTGCAGTTCGATTCCCCCCCACACACACACACATGTTGAAGTGTCCTTGGGCAAGACACTGAACCTGAAGTTGCTCTCAATGGCAGCATGGAGGCTCTGTCGCCACTGGTGTATGAATGTGTGTGATTGTAACACGCTTTGAGTACCACAAAGGTAGAAAGGTTCTATATAAGAGTCCACTAGTTTACCATTTTAAAAAAGTATATTGGTAATCAGGGCTGCCAGGAGGGTCAGTGGTTAGCACTGTCGCCTCGCAGCTAGAAGATCCCTGATTCGTGTCCCGGTTAGGACGTCTGGGATCTTTCTGTGTGGAGTTTGCATGTTCTCCCCGTGCAGCGTGGGTTCTCTCTGGGTTCTCTGGCTTCCTTCCACAGTCCAAAAACATGCTGAGGTTAAATGGTGATTCTAAATTCCAGTGTGTTTAGTTGTTTGTTTCTGATAGACTAATGACCTGTCCAGGGTGTCCCTTGAGTCGGCTGGGATAGGCTCCAGATAATAGATGGATGGATTTTGGGAATCAGATCGCAATATGTCAGATAATTTCTAACTAGATGTTCCTCCAAATCCTTCAGCGTTACTGCAGACACGCCAGTGAAGCTGGATGATGGATAAATAAAGGCAGTGTTTGTTTCTGATGCAGGCCAAGGTTTAAGCTCATGACTGAAGCAGAAAGAATTTTGCTTAATTTTGTTTATATTAACGCCTGCTGAAACACAACAGAAGATGTATAAATGTGTTTATTCATTTGTGACACATCTGCACGAAATCAGCCCCATTGCACCTTCGGCTATATCCGAGATACAGCCACTGATTTTGGGTTTATTGCTGAGATCGGTCCATTTAGTTGCTTTCTACATGTAGGTAACATATAATATTACAGATCGCTGTCAAATACTGTCAGCATGCATGAGCGGTAACACCAGAAAGAAGCCATGGAAATCACATCCTATCCCGTGATTGGCGTCATGTGGTAGCAACATGCCGCTTTTGTTTATAATAGGCCAAGGCGCAATGTGACTGATTTGTGCAGATGAGTCACATTTAGCAGTTTGATCAGAATTTGTTTTTTTTTGTTGTTTTTTTAGTGTATCTGTTGGTTTGTGTATTTGTTGGTTTGTTCAGACTGCAGTTCCATCCAGCCAGCAGGGCCAGCTGCTGCTCTCTGGTAATCTGGATTATAATTCTCTGATTCTCTCCGACAGTAAGCTGCCATGCTGTGAGGTGGTGACTCCGCCCGCTCTGTGAGGAGGAGGAACAGCAGGAAGAGGAAGAGGAGGAGATGGCGGCTGAACTTTTCTCCACCAGCCTCCCTCACAGTGAGGAGGTGGAGGTGCTGGACGTGAAGAAGAGTTTCATCCAGCTGAGCAAACCGGAGCCAACGAGTGAACACGGCGACGAGCGAGACGCCGTTCAGCCGTACAACAGCAAAGACAACAACGCAGAGGACAGAGACAGCTGGCAGGCAGCGCACCCCACCCTCAGAGAGAGGTAAATAACAACAACAGCAGTCGCACAACATCTGTCCCCACTCTCATGTCTCGTTTCCACATAGTTTTGCTTAATGTCCGTAAATCCGTATAATACATGGACTGGATGAATAGAGTTGTGGTTGACTCGCATGCGAACACAGAACTACAAGGAAGCAAGGCGTCGGAGAGGTAAAGAACAAAAACAACAATAACATAACATCTGTCCAGACTCTCTTGCAGAGGTAAATAACAACAACTGTTCCTACCCTCACAGAACGATAAATAGCAACAACACAACAACTATCTACACCTTCAGAGATAGGTAAATAACAACAAAAACTGTCCATCAGAGGAAGGGTACATAACAACAACTGTCACCACCATCACAAAGAGTTAAACACAACAGCACAACAACAGCATCCCTTTCTGTCAGTACATTTGCGTTTAAAATTGTTGTTTTTCGATTTCAAAACTCTGTGGGTGGGGACAGACTATAAACACTTTGAGTCAATTTTGTTTATTTCTTTTTTGTTTTTCATTGTGATGCTGATAAATAAATCTGACTGAAGTAAATTTATTTTTTGTTGCTGTTGTGCTCTTTATTTGCAGGAACGCTCTAATGTTCAACAACGAACAGATGGCTGATATCCACTTTGTCGTTGGTCCTCCAGGAGAAACTCAGACAGTTCCTGCTCATAAGGTACACAACCGTGTCCACACCGAGGGTACCTTCATGCTGACTCGCCCAACCCTCTCAATGAGTATTAGAGATTTTCATGAAAAAAATTCACGTAAAAACTTCAATGAAAGTTTAACTCTACCCAAGCTCTGAACTGCTCCACCCACTGCCCAATTTTCAATAAAGTAAAAAAAAAAAACGTTGTGCAAGCGTGGATCTGTGAGGCAGGTTGCCCAGACCAAAGAAAATGAAAAGCAAGACAGAACCTGACATGAGTGTGGTGGAGGACCATGGTGATCCTGAGCCACATCAGTCTGAGCTGGTGGCTGCAGGAGCTCTTGTGGAACCTCGTCAACCTAAACTCAGTTGGTGTTGGTGCTTTACATCTGTTTGCCTCTGTCCGACTGTCTGTGCTTACATATAGTGCATTTTAACACAGCTAAATTCCCAATTAAACTATTCTCCTTTACATGTTTTCCTGTCATCAGACAACAGAATGAGTAGAAAATAATGACTGAAGTGCAGCCCGTTAAGGCTGTTAAACCGCAGTCACTTCAGAGCCATTTCCAAGCTGCCATTCTGACGGCTAAACTACTGATTTTATAACCACAGTTATTTAAATAAAACAAAAAAACAACAACTTCTCATCCGCATGAGTTAAATACAACAGCTGTGCTGTGAATTCAGCGATGTTTACATGGAAAGTGATCACTCAGAGAAAGTTAAAGCAACAGAATGTCCTGGTCCCACACACTCATTGACGTCTATGCCGGCTGCTGTGCTGTTGACTGTGCTGCTCCCCTGCCACTCACTTAACAGAGCAGATTTGCTGGTTTCACAGACTCCCACTCAAGGATGGAGGCTGGGGGAGGCAGGCCACCCACCTCTGATTTAACATTAACATTCTCTTTTAGATGTATTTCACCATGTACTGAAGTTTCAACTGTCAGTATTGGGTTTGCAAGGTTCGGGTTGACAGCAGATGGTGTGTTGGACCATTTTTAACCCATGAAATGCAGATTGTTAGTTTTATTTTACAGCTAACAAAACATGTTTAAGTGTGTAGTACCTCTTTCAGTTAATGGGACTCTGCACAGTCCTAAAGCTCTAGTTCAAATTCACATTGTGATTCCTATTTAAAACTGGATTAAGCTGAAATTGAGCCCTTTTTTTGAACCTAAAACAAATGCAGCTGATCGTGTCCTTGGTTTCCCTATGGTTTTTCATCAAAAAAGAATTTCAGCATAAAACTGTAGTCCTATCAGTTTCTACTGATTCTGAGATTCACCTTCATCCCTTTTAATTCCAAGTTGTCCTTTATAGACTACATTTCCTGCATCTTCCTCCCGTCGTGTCCTCTAGTCCAGATTGTTGTGATTAGTTTCCTGTCTGTGTTGCAGTACGTCCTGGCAGTGGGCAGCTCGGTGTTTGGAGCCATGTTTTATGGAGATCTGGCAGAGGGACAATCTGAGATCCACATCCCAGACGTGGAGCCAGCTGCTTTCCTTATTCTGTTAAAGTGAGTCTAGTCTGAGTCCAGACTTAAGACCAAATTCAGACCATGTCCTACGTTTTGTGTGTCAGTTTGCTTTATACTTCCAACACAAGTCCAAAAGAGCTATTGGTTTTATTTATTGATTTGGTCTTTATTATATAGTTCAGTGAAGAGGGAGACAGGAAACGTAGGGAGAAGAGTGGGGGAAGGACATGCATCAAATGGCAGTGGGTCAGACTCAAACCATGGCCGCTGTGTCAGAGACTTTCAACCCATGCTCAACAGGCTGACCTGTTGGCACCCCAGAAGACCTACTGTAAGGGAAGAGTGCTATAGTAGCATGTATCTAGCACGTTAGTGGCCTAGCCTTTAGTTCAGCAGCTAGTCACCAAGCTTCAGGCATCACCTGCTTCACTGGCACTCCTGAGGTTCCTGCTCGCATGTCCATCGTGTTTACAATGTCAAGAGGTGCCTCCCTGGTTCTCTTCCACTACAGTCCGCTGTGAATTCACACTGCATGTTGCATTGTGTCCTGGATGTCTCTCTCTTGACGTGTCGTGATCCTGCTGTGTGCTCTGTCTCAGGTACATGTACAGTGATGAGATTGAGCTGGAGGCTGACACTGTGCTCGCCACGCTCTATGCTGCTAAGAAGTACATCGTCCCTGCCCTGGCAAAGGCCTGCGTCACCTTCCTGGAGACGAGCCTGGAGGCAAAGAACGCCTGCGTCCTGCTGTCTCAGAGCCGGTTGTTTGAGGAGCCTGAGCTGACGCAGCGCTGCTGGGAGGTGATTGATGCTCAGGCTGAGCTTGCTCTGCGATCTGAGGGCTTTTGTGAGATCGACGTGCCCACGCTGGAGATCATCCTGCAGAGAGAGACACTCAACATCCGTGAGATTGTAGTGTTTCAGGCAGTGCTGAGCTGGGCAGCGGCTGAGTGTCGGCGGCAGGGCCTGACAGTGACCCCCAGGAACCAGCGGACAGTGCTGGGTAAGGCTCTATACCTGGTCCGCATCCCCTCCATGACGCTGCAGGAGTTTGCAGACGGTGCAGCGCAGTCTGATGTGCTGACGCTGAAAGAGACTCACAACGTCTTCCTATGGTTCACCGCCACCAACAAACCTAGACTGGAGTTCCCTGTGGTGAAGCGGACTGGCCTGGTGCCGCAGAGGTGCCACCGCTTCCAGTCCTCAGCCTACCGCAGCAACCAGTGGCGCTACAGGGGGCGCTGCGATAGCATCCAATTTGCAGTGGATAGGAGGATCTTCATAGCCGGGCTCGGTCTGTATGGGTCCAGTGGCGGAAAGGCTGAGTACAGCGTGAAAATCGAGCTAAAGAGGCAGGGAACCGTTCTGGCCCAGAACCTCACCAAGTTCCTGTCAGACGGATCAAGCAGCACCTTCCCCGTGTGGTTCGAACACCCGGTTCAGGTAGAACAGGACACTTTCTACACGGTCAGCACTGTCCTGGATGGAAACGAGCTGAGTTACTTTGGCCAGGAGGGGATGACCGAGGTGCAATGTGGGAAAGTGACCTTTCAGTTCCAGTGTTCATCGGACAGTACCAATGGCACCGGTGTGCAGGGGGGGCAAATTCCAGAACTGGTCTTCTACTGCTGAACAAGAATCTGATGCATTGAAGGACTCATAGCCTTCAATCAATCAGTAAACACAAAGGGGGAGTCAGTGACTGAGCCTGGATGCAGACATGAAAGCTGATTGGACTGTTGCAGTAGTACTAGAAGCTGATTGGCTGACTGGTCTGTTAAAAAAATGATTAGTGAACATTAAAGTTTGTGTGACTGAAACTACAGTGTGATTTTGTGTCTTTGACCTGATGAGACTTATTAATGAGATATTTAATAAATTACTTTAAAGTTACCTGCAGCTTCCACCAGATGTCACTTAAAACCACTTAACTACACAGCAGCTCCTGAAGAGGGATTTATACTTGACACTGTACATATTGGACTGCTATTGGACATCACAGTGCTTGTTTACAGAGTGAAGAGTAGCTTTGTAGTGTCATAGGTGAGCTGGTATGCTCAAACTGCAGAGAGCAGCATGGTGGGTGAGAGGTTAGGTTGGAAATGAGTAGATCTGCACATACGACAGTAAGCAACAACACAGAGTTACTCTACGTAAGCCATTTTAAGGCAGAGGGATTTAATGATGATTTATTTATGAAGGCTTTTTTTTCATTAAATATACAACTTTGATAAACAAAGAAGAGTTTTAAGGGGTTTAATCACAATGACCGAAGAGGGACTTTTAACTATAAACAGCTGTTTTGTTTGTCTAACTCTTTTCTCATCTCGTCAGAAGCAGCCGGGTGATCTCACACTGACAAGGATTTTTATGTTTTAAAGATGCTTTTAGGTGCTGCTTATCTGAGGACGATGAGTTTTAGTGTTTGAGGTCGCACCATGTTTCTGTTTGTTAACAGGAACTCTGACAGTAATTCAGGTCAATCAGTATGACAAGAATACGGTTGTTTTTTCAGTTGTCAAACTTATTCTGACAATAAAACCCATGTAAGTACAAAGCAGCAGAGCTTTGAGGGTGTAACAACCAGTTTGCTTTTCTGCAAACGTTTCTCACACGGTTTACACCTGAACTGAACATTTTTACTGTAAACAACATGGATAAAGGTCTCACCAATTGCAGGAGCGTTGATGCAGAGCTCACGAGCCAGCAGCAGGAAGGTCTTTCCCAGAATGTACACGTTCACCTGAACACATTAAACACAGGTCATGAAGTGCACTGAGAGTGTCCTAAACTTCTGCTTAGAGGTGGTCGTGCAGGTCTGAGGTCAGTCGTACCTGCAGCAGGTCACTCAGATCCAGCAACATGTCTGAAACACAGCTCAGGAAAACCAGCAGGAGCTCTGGAGGTAAAATGTCACACTGATGTTCACACTGACCAACTGAAAGCTATTCGTAATATACATTGAATCACACATGCTCAGTACATCCCAGTGGTTGCTAGGATACGTGGCGTCCCCTCTGTGCGACACACAAGGTAGAGACATGCAGCGATGACGTGCTCCGTCTTGCGCCCTCGGGTCAGATGTTTACTAACAACCAGCTTGAAGAAGTTGAAGGCCGTGTCCAGACAGTGCTGATTGAGCTGCAGCTGACTGCCCAGCTGCTGGATCTGACGCTTACCTGCAGAAACACAGAGTTCATTACACACCACGACCAAGATACTACGATTTGTATTAGAGCCGGGACCTTCAGGTTTCATACAAGTCTTGGTGCAGTACTCACCGCTCTGCAGGGTCTGAGCTCTGGACTCTTTACCAACACTGGTGTGGAAACCAGAACCAAGAAGAGGAGCTTTAACTGGACCTTCAAACAGACAGAGAGGACACTGTGTTAGAGTGATGGACAGACAGAGACAGACAGAAACACAAAGAGATGGTCAGAGAGAAAGACAGACAGACGTAGTTGGAGAGAGAGACAGAAAGACAGACAGCTAGATGACTGTAAAGAACAAAATAAAGTTTAGTTAAACTGGATTCTCAGGCTCACAAATGAACAAAAAGGGTGAAACCTTGAGTGCTGCTGATGGTTTGTATCAGAGCTAATCAATCATTGTACTGTTTGATGATCAAACTTTCAGATTGTGATAGTTTTACTGACATGAGGTGTAACTCCCTGTTTGTACAACAGGCTTGTTGAAGATGAACCAGATACAGGATGCATGCCGGTTAGGCTTCTATCCAAACTGATCTGACGTCATACAAATGTAGACAACGATCATATCCCAAACTCTGTCTGTCACCTGATCTAACAGCTGATCAGTTTAGATATCAATATGACTTTTGACAGAACCTTTTTATTTCAGCTAAATTGGAAAGATTTAGATTTTTTCAATGCGATTTTGAAGGTATATTCTCTAATGACAATACATGCTTTTGATAGTTGGTTGTAAGGGTTTCAGTCAGAGAGACTGAATATATGCACAGCACACATATGCACACAGTCTGTTGTATACGAACATCGGACTGATTTAATTCAGAAAGTATTAAACAGCACAGAAACTTCATGTATATGGAATGTGAGGATTCCTAAAGTAATGTCTGTACAGATGTTTCAGCTCTGACAGATCACCAAGGAAAGCTGCTGTCTCTATATTTAACCATTAATCTTTTCAGTGTATTTATGCAGATTTCCAGTCCAGGCACGGTTCGTCTCATTAAAGCCTTTTAAAACATTCACTTACAGCTACTTCCTGCAGTGTTCTGGCTGTAATTACATTCAATCAGCCTCACCTGGACTGTGTCCTCTGTTTCCATGACAATCAGGTGATTAGCTCACCTGGCTGCAGACAGGAAGCCTTTCCTCCACAGAGACTGAGACGTAGTTCAAACTGTCTGTTTCTGCAGGTTCAACATGAGAACTACTCTGTTCATCATTGGGTGAGTTCAGTAAAACATTCAACCTGTGCAGGTACATAAACATCTCACTTGGTCGGTAAAAACCAAACTTCACTACTTTGTTTTCCCAGACTCGTCTTTTTCTGCTGTGAGTTCACAGACAGAACAACAGCTGAAGTCCAGCTGGATGGTAAACGGGTTTTACTGGTTTATTCACACCTTACTGTTCGTTGTACAGGATGTTTACTGGAATGTTTACTAGTTGTTTGCAGTGTCTCTGCTGATAATTTTAAGGGCTGATTTAGAGGTTTTTACCCTGGAAGTCTTGGCTGCTGTGGTTATTTTCTTGAGAACTGCAGACAGTGACTGTGACTCTTTCCTGATGACCTTTGACTTGCAGTTGATGCCCTGTGTCTTGTTGACACTGGTTACTGCCAGTAGACACGTTTCAGATGTTCTGTCCCAGCAGGTTTTGTCCAGTCTGAGTGTCGAGATCGTTACCTGTGGATCCACGTGGCCTCAGAACAGACGCCTCACTTTCAGGCCATCGGTCAGTTCTTCTTCACTATATACAAATAGACACTGTCCTGACAACCAAACATCTCACCGTCTGTATGTAACATCCTGATACAGATGGGAATGATGTCCACCCCATCAGTGAGGCGCTCGCATTGCGCTGTGGTTACACCATCAGCACCTTTAAGATGGATGGCTACACCACCTTCAGAGCTTCATACTATTCCTGTTTCACCCAGAACCAGGTAGTTCCACCTGAACCACATCCAGGTAGCTCCAAATGAACCACATCCAGGTAGCTCCAAATGAACCACATCCAGGTAGCTCCACCTGAACCACATCCAGGTAGCTCCAAATGAACCACATCCAGGTAGCTCTAACTTCAACAGGCTCTGACTAAGGCCAGAGCTTCACAGAGTCGGTTACCATGGTAATTGTCTCAAAGTTCAAGTTACTTCTCTCTGGACCAGAGAGCCCAAACTTTTCCTTATCTTAGAGTTTGCAAACAGAGTTTTCACTATGCCTGTTGTCTGAAACAGGGCCCAGCTGTGATGAATTTGATGTTTGTTTGTTTTTTTTCTTTCCCCAGAATGACGAGGTGTTCACCTTCAATTTTAATGTGCTGGTGAAGGACAGTGATGGCAAGTTGACCAGCCAGTCTGTTTCTACAGTCTGTCCTGGTCTCACCTGGACTCACAGAGAGATCCTCTGTGAGGAGAACTACATGGAGGTCAGAACACATTCTACCACCGAGGGTTTGACTAGATGCACTAAAATCTATTAAACTATGATTTTGTTTAAGATCTGATATTGCGGTGTCGACAGGTGAACATAAACAGAGAGTCTTCATGTGAAGGTCACCATGGGGAGGGTGGAAAGATGTGGCAGAAGGCTGTCTCTCAGGTATACCACATCACAGGAATCAAAATGAGAACATTTCGTTGTCTCGTCTTCTTCAGGATTTCCTCTTCCACCCTAACTTGTCAGTGTTAAAGAATCTGCATACCATCTGTTTGATCATTTGAAAAACAAACATCAACGCTGGTACACTTATGCGTTCACCAGCTAAAAATACTAACATATTAGCACCTTCAGATCTTTGATATGTTGTCCGTGTTATGTTTTGTAGTGGCTGCATGGACGTACATCAATTGTACATCAGTCGCTCACCTCCAGGTCTTTGAAATTGCAGCTGCGCACAAACTCAAAAAAATCCACACCCATTACAGATTCTTCCCAGTACGCATTTTATAGTTTAAGGTTTGAACTTTATTGAACCAAGTACAAGCTGAGATGTCTTGTTTCACATATCTTATTTCTGTGGAGATTTGAATTTTTCAGCTTGTCAAGCATCTCGGGCTGACTGTGTATCATATTTTAAAACTTGTTCCAAAAAATTCACTCTTTTCAGAAAGCCATTTTCTTCCTGTGACACGACTCTTGAAATAAAATCCAAGTGGGAAACCTTAGATTACTTGGTACTGAGGCTTGGCAATTTGTTGTTCAGGCTCAGAAGACGGCAAGTTCCACTTGGCAGCTGATGTTCATGCTCAGTGATGGGCAGTTTTCCTCCATGCCCGTCTCTGAGGCCCAGAGGTGGGGCTACAGCCTGACCATCACCGCACAGAGGATGGTGCTTCGATCTCCATACAAACAACCGCATGCCAGGATGATGATGGTGGGTAACCATGATTAGCAAACCAGAGTCAAACAGTGATCTCTGTGGAATAAATGCTTCCTGGTAGGAGTGTTTTGTGCTATGCTGTTTTTTTTTGGATGAAGCCAAATGGCCACAATCAACAGTATATCAGTTTCTGAGCTGGACTGCAAAGTGATAAACATCAAAGCTCAAGTGTTTCCATGTAGACCATAGCTAACCAAAATCGTTCAAACTTCACGTATATGTGTAGTATT